CACAGTTGGGACTACGCCCCCCGCCTACCTGCGGGCACCTCCTCGAGAGCACAGCACCTTGGACCACTGGCAAACGGACACAGACCATGCCCTGCATTTCTCCGCAGAGGATGGATGTAATGGGCTCTGGGATCAAAGTGGGAGCAACCTGTATAAATCCCATATGGGACTTTTATTAAGTGGACGGCTAGGGAAAAAAATAGCTTAAGCTTTTGAATTTCAGTTTCCTGATAAGTAAAATAAGATATTGTCTCTTTCTGGTCTGTTTCTAAGGGTGGTTTGTTCAGAAGGCTAATGAGGCTAATACAAGACAGGCAATTTTCTAAACAGAAAAGCCTACCGAAATGCCAAGCTATTTTATTAATTTTTATTTTGAGCTCCGTCTTTGGGATCCTTTGTTTCTGGTGCAAAGCCCCTGAGATTTGGGGATTATTCTAGCCCAGTAGGTTTATATTTACAGAGCATAGTTTTGCACAATTAAATTACAAGCAAAGAATGCAGACCTGAAACCCAATCGTTGAAACTGTCATTTCATTCTCCTATTTCGAGTGCTCTTGAAGATTTCATGAGTTTTGTAATATTAAAATGTGTTCAACCGTTCGCTTAGTTCTTCTAATTAACACAAAAGATTCAAAGGGACCCCGTCGGTAATCGGGGTGATTAGCGGCGTATCCGATGGTGCTGGACTACACACCCCCCAGGGCCAAGGGCAGGGTGTCACGACTGCGCGGGAAGCGCCAGCAGGTCCTCCTCGGACACGCGCCGGGTGGAGAAGTTCAGGCGGCGACAGCGGTGCCCTGTGCCTGTCTGACGCCAGGCTGTGCCGGCACCAATCCCAGCCCTGGACTGACCCCGTGACCTCGGAGCAAGTTCCTTCCCGTCTCTCGGTCTCAGTTTCCTCGCCAGTAAAATGCATCCCCTCTTCCATCAGGTCGCTGCGATGGTCAAAGGCAATCACGCGAGTGGCCAGGCCACGGCCAGAGCCCCGTCCCTGTTGGCTATTGTCATCCCACGAGTTCTGCTGAGCCCTGAACGCACGCGCTTGCAAGCTAAAGCAGAAGCAAGTCTTTACTCTTCGCCGTCCCAAACCATCTGCCTACTTCCTTCCTCGGGGGCCCTAGGCTGGTGTCAGTGCCAGTATGGGTGCCCTAAGGGACCCCACTAGAGACGCTCCTGAAACTTCTTGGTTCCCCACCGACCCTGGCACAGAGGTTCACGTCGAAGCCCGTGGGCTGTCAGGCGCTCAGCTCCACAGTAGCTTTTTTCTCTCTCGAGTTACCTTTTTCTCGCCAGAGAGGTACCTCGGCAGAGCCGAGATTCAGACTAAGTCTGCAGCAGAGAAGGTCCTGGCTCTTGGCGGCAATCCCCCCGGGAAGACAACTGGAAGCACAAGCGAGGCTGAAGTCTCCTCGGATGAAGCTGACACTTCAGGGCCAGGGTGACGCTAAAAGAAAATTGAACCCGATTCACCTTTCCCTCCTTCCTCATCCCAGACAGCACCCGACACCTGCCTGTCGTGATAAGCTCCCCGCTGCTCAGCCAGACACTTGGCAGGTGAACCTCAGCATCGGCGCCGCCAGGTTTAACAACCGCTGTTTGCACTGCCGTTGGAGGTACTTTAATATTATAATTGGGTGGCCCTGGTTCCTCTCTCCAAAGGCGAAATTTATTCTAGTCACAGCCTTAATTTTCTGACTTTTTTTTAAGTGGAAAATTTTTAATTTTATTGAGCAGGAAAACGTATTACATAGAATAAGTATTTTTAATTGAATTGATTGGGGTGACATTGGTTAATAAAATTATACAATCTTCAAGTATACAATTCTACAATATGTCACCGTGCATTGTACAGTGTGCTCACCACCCCAGGTCAAGTCTCCCTCCATCACTATTTATCCCCCACACCCTCTTCTACCTCCGCCACCCCCTTTCCCTCTTGTAATCACACACACACACACACACACACACACACACACACACACACCATATACACAGACAACAGTATTTTCTTACATTTTTGAGATTTGTGTCCAATGTTAGGAGAAGCCTAGCCGCACCTACGGAACCTATGTCCAGATATATTAATCACATTCTACTACTAAGCTTAAACCTTTAATTATATCATTTAAACGACCCTGCTAAGCTATTTCCATCTCCATTCTGTAGATAATGTCTGTGCATTTTTTTCTTCTTTAATAGAAGGAGAACAATCTTTAAGGTCCAATCTGACTCTAATAATATATAATTCTAAATACATCTTTCTATCCCAACTGGAGAGTCAGGCATAAATCCCAGGAGGAAGGGGAGAGGGAGGCTGAAAAGACAGGAATGACGATGACTCCAATGCCCCGGAAACGAAGAGGCAAAGGAGACTTCTATGCACAATCCGAAAAACGAGTGAGTGAGAGGAGCCTAAAGAGATAGGCTTTGCCAGCATTTGTTTTTCACTGTAGGTCCATGACAAGGACCATGACGTCTTTATGAGTTACCTGAGTTTGTCATTTACAGCTCCCTCCATATGTGTTCACGGCTACTGTTGGGATGTCCACCTCCCCTCCGCCCCCCCAGTGACTGCACCTAAAGCCCTTGAAAAGAAAAAGAACTGTGTGTTGGTTGATGGTATGTGATGTCCGGTGGTGAATCCTGGAGACAGAAGGTCCCAGATCAGGGCAGATCTGTGGAGAGCGAAGTCAGCCTGGTGTGGTCCTTTTATGAATTTGCTTCCAGCCGGGGAGCTCGGGGCACCTGGCAGGATAGCGCCCGGCCGCCACCTCCCACCTCCTGCTCCCCGCCCTCCGCGGCCGGGCCCCTCCCGCCTGACTCCCGGCACACAGTCTTTCTAGATGAAATCCGTCGTCCTCTTCTCCTGGTCATAAGACGCCTCCCTGTCCACTGAGTCCCAGGGTCCCTCTCAGGGCAGCTGAAGACTATCAGGTCCCAGGCACAGGCGCGAACCGGCGCTTGCTAGCAGGCGGCCCACAAAGTCATCTATTTCCACGGGAAAAACAAATTCAGGGGCAAACTGGAGGGTCTGTCTGGGTAACATCCATCCCTCATGTTTCTCTACCTGTGTGACTGACATTTAAAAACAATTACCTGGAGGCTCAGCTTCACACTGGTACGGCCACAGCTCTGCACGGTCCAGTAAGGAGGCCCCATGTGGCCGCCGAGCCCCAAAGGTGTGGCCGGTCCAGACCAAGCTGCGCCCAAGTGAAAATGCACACTCAGTGTCACACACTTTATACAAAAAAGGGAAACACAATGCCTAGCACCATGTGAATGACTTTTATATGGATCGCATGTTGCAATGAAAATGTTTTGGATATATTGTGTTAAATAACATACATTATCATAAATAATTTTGCCTGTTTCATTCTGCTTTTTAAACGCAACTCCTAGACAACTGTAAATGACACGCATGGCTCTCATGATGTCTCTCCTGGAAAGCGCCACTTGGAAGCACGTGGCTGGCTTCATGCACAGTGTGGCTACATGCAAGCCATGCTCCTCGGGCAGGGTAATTGAGTTCTCGCCTGTGAAATGGGAGCATCAGCTACCCCTGCTTCTTCCTAGCCTCGCCCTGGCCGGGCAGTAGACGGGGTGCTGCTTGGCATAGGGCCGGGCCTTGCCTGGGCAGCGCTCCTCAGCCCAGGCAAGTCCCAAAGGGACGCTTGGGGCAGAGGCACATCGCTGGACGCTGGGAGCTGGAGGAGCGGCTGAGGGGTGTGCCAGGGCACCCCTACCAACTGCTCTTTGCACAGGGAGAGCGCGTGCTCGAAGCACAGCTCCCCCCAGGAACGCCACCAGACAAAAAACAAGGCGCCTTATCTTTGCTGTTGACAAAATGCATGTGATTGTGCAGACCAGAAATATCCACTCTATCTTCCCACATATCTGGTAGCTGGATATAAGTGACTTGTTGAAATAAGTCATATGAAAGGCAAATAACAATACTAGACCATACACATTAAATGCCTCATGAAATACAGAAATCCTTCTGGAGAGGTGCAAGCCACAAGGGCTGGAAAAATGAAGGTTTGTAAAGCAGGATTTGCGTAAGCGACGTGCGGCGCAGGGTGGTGTGTTTCCAGGACACATCCAGGCCGATCTCATTGGAGGGACGTTTCCTGTAGGAAGACACAGGAGGCCAAACTAACAGCAGAGAGGAGGCGGGCCAGTAGAAGCAGATTGCCACTTTAGGTCGGGACCCCAAGGAGGTAGGGCGGCAGCTGCACAGAATGGGGAGATCCGTGGGGCAGGCCACACCAAAATGACTGCTCTGGGCCTCTGCGTCCTTCCCAGGGCGGGCCTCCCGACTTTTACCCTCTCTTCCCACAGGATACCTTTCCAGCTACGTTCCTAACTGGCCCTTCAGCCCCTGGGCAGCTCCTTGGGACAAAGCTTTGCTTCAGAATATCGCACACGAATAATAATCAGAAAGATAAATTACCAATTACCATCTATGGTTGAGAAAGACAGGCTAACAGATCTTCCGTGGGGAGACTGGCCATGTGCGTCTCAGTGGTGATCAGATGCATCTAAAGTTCCATTACTGTGTCTAAATACAGCAGCGGCATTAGGGAGTCGTGTGGGGTCGATGCGCGCTTAGTGCTAGGGAGCCGAGAGCCAGGGAGAGCTGCTGCTTCTGAGCACTGATAAGGAAGGTGTAACCGAAGGAAGCTGTGCTGTCCCGTTCCCTGTTCGCTCGCTTTCTTCTTAGCTTTAAAGAATAGAAAGACAAAGAGGGGGTGGCGGATAGATGGTGACCGGAGGCCTCTTGACTGGGGGCGGCGAACACACGATGCAGGGTCCAGAGGGTGTGCAGCGGGCTGTGCACCGGAGCCCCGCACACTTTGGTTAACCAGTGGCATCCCGACAAATTCAACACAAGGAAACAAAACGAATTATCAAAAAGACGCTGTGCTGAAAACGCTCCAAAGCCACTTCTCTTCATCCTGTAACACGGCCTGTGTTCTGTGTGCGCCCGTTGCTTTCCTCAGACTCAGATTAGCCCCAAGGAAGGATGGCAAGTGTACAGCTCGGCCCAGGACCCCGACGGGCGGTGCATCTGCACGGTGGTCGCTCCCGAGCAAAACCTGTGTTCCCGGGACGCCAAAAGCAGGCAGCTCCGCCAACTGCTCGAGAAGGTAGGTGTCCCGGGTGTCCCCTGGGCCTAGTCTTAGCGCAGTCTACGCGGGAAGTGTGGGGAGGCAGGAAGTGGGGACCAGGGGCCTCCCAACATTTGCCCTTCTCAAATCAACGTTTCCTCCCCTCCCCGCCCCGCTGTGTTCTATTTATGGGACTTTTTACTTTTTCCAACCTTGTCGTCTTAAGACTGGCTCTCTATCATGGATCTTAATATCCAGTTGGTGTCTCCTTAAGAAAAGAAAAGAAAAAAAGAAAAGCAGCAAGCCTTATTCCGAAGCTAGAACTTGAGCTTCGTCTCTCAGGATCCCAGCAGCCTCTTTGAGCTCAGACTTTGGGTCCCATTATCAAGCTTGCACGGAGGTTAAAATAATGGCACGCACTATGCAAGCTCTCAGGACAGACGATGAATAATTCCAAGTATTTATCATCGTTCTCCAAGTCATGCCTTTGAACACTAAGCTCTTCAATTTCATTCAACAGCCTTCTCTCTGTATAATTTACTTAAGCTGGGTCCCTAACAATCAAATGCAGAATGCCCTTGATTTATGCTCTTTTACAGAAAAAAAAGTCAGCTCATGAAAAGTTGTTTGTGTGTAGTGTGGGGAGAAGAAAACAAAACAATACATGGTTCTTCCGAGTATTCTCCTTCAGCCTCCCACCGCGGTGGGCTCTGAACACCGCAGGCCACCTGGGGTGGCCCGGCTGATGGAGGGCTGACAGCATGTTAGAATTTCAAACACCATCAAGGGTAATAAGATAAATCAGGTAGCGTGTGCTCTCAGGGATGTCACGATCCACAGTTCGTGTTGTGCCATCTCTTTTCCTTGACCATCCACACAGCGAAGGCGTCGGATGGGAAATTTTTACAGAAAGTTAAGAGAAGCTAGAAAAAAGAAAGCCTCAAATCTACTAGGAATAGACACTCCGAGGTCTCAGCCGGACAGTGGCCTCCTGCTAACGTCCTCTGTGAAAAGCAGGTGCCTCTGTGTACACTCTCAGAAGTCTCCCATGCCTCAGATACCAAAACCTTTTCTCATGTTTTTATGCAAAGATTAGTCTTTTTCCTCCCCCTCTCCTCAGAGCTGTCATCATATATTGATTTTATCTTATGTCTTTTTTTATAAGATCCCATTGTCCCTGCTCCTTCAGTATCTGTCCTCCAGACAAGAGCGAATGTCATTTCATTCAAACTAATGGCTCTACTTAATGTGCCTCTCAACTGTTAGAAATCATGACATATGAACTATGATTCATTTGGGGCATTGTCTTCCATCTTTATTTCCTTATTTCTATGGAAAAAACTCAAATATAGAGTTTACTACTATTTGGTTACTAGGGAAATTAATTATATTGGTAAAAACATTTACTCCTTCAATCCAATTTTCCTTTTCTATTAAAATGTATTTCTCCTCAGATTACTGATTTTTCTGTTCCATTCTTCTTTTCTATGCAAAACCATATATTTTTCTCCATCAACCATGGGGAGAAAGAATTTCTTAGACACCATAAACTTATTTGTCTTACTATTTTTCTGTATAGCATTGCATATACACACCCACACAGAGACTCAGACATTTCTTCAAACACTAGTTGAAAAAAAACCAAGTAACATCCGAAGGTCAAGAGGCAGACAGCGCCCTCTACAGGGCCAAAGTGAAATGTGTTCCAGAGCGACAGTAAAACCAGGAACCAGTGAAGAACAGGTGAGGCCTCAAAGGACAATGGAGAAGATGGGCTAAATACGACCACTGGAATGTGCAGGACCACTCCATCCAATATGCAATGCATTGCATATTTTAAAGAGATTCTAGAAAATCACACCTTTAAAACTTTATCCATACCTAAATGTTAAAATAAATAAGTGAAAGTATTAACACAACCAAGGTCGCCACAGGTTAGATGTATCCCAGTCACCACGGGGTAATGCCATGGCGACCCCGTGGTGCACTAACCAGTGGACCGGCCTGGGAGCGGCAGCAAAGACACCTGACACTCGTGTTCCTTGCTCAGACTAAGCCGTCCCTTCGTTGCTGGCTTCTCCACAGCCGCGCAGGGATCCAGGGCCCGAGATGGCAAACAGGGGCATGGCCTTTACACTCACCATGAACTAAAGCATTAGTCCTATAACAAGGGAATACTGTGAAGAGAAACAACGTAAGGACAGTTGTTCCCACCTATTATATTAGTATCCACTCCACTGGGTCCTCAGGGCAGAAGTAGTTGCCTTTTTGTGTTCACATAAGAGGGAACTGGTGCTTTTTGAGGTTAGACAGCCTGCAGATGTCACTGAACCCACAGACTGTGTGGCTATCGTAGATCAGTTGTGCATGGTCTCAGCACCATGCGAGCGTTACCCAGAATGCCCTGGCGGGGCCTACACTTCACTAAACGATGCTCTGACAAGCAGTTTTGATAGTATTGATATCACTGAATACTAAAAAACTTACCATTGGTTTCGTAATATCTCAGGACTCAGTATGCCCAAACTAAAATTGGTTCACTTAAAAGCGTTTGTTAGCTGCGCAGCTTCTCTGTACAGTTAAACATGCCCTGCGCTCCTGTCTAGGCCCTTCCTGAAGCGCGGTTTCTGGACTAGGACGCCAGCGGCATCCTCACCAATACAATAGTTTTACAAAACACCATACACAATACTTGACTCTTGAAGATTGCGACCCCAGGTCTGATAGTGGAGGCTGTGGAAAGCCCTCCAGGAAAGACCCCGCTGTTTGTTTTTGTTCACCTAGGGCTCCCCAAACATGTGACACGCGGGACTTCTTGTTCCAAGTAGCTTCCACACTAATTATGAATGAGAGAAATCTCAGTTACTTTGTATTTAAGGGTAAAAGCCCTTGGACACTTAATTTACACAAAGCACCAGGATAAAGAGTTTAAAAAAGAGGATCAGCGAAGGAGGACAGTGAACTCCCCACGCGACGCGGGAGGGTCCGAGCACCGGGACACACAGGGAAAGCTGGGTTGCAGAACCTCAGAGACGCGCAGGCCTCCCCGATCCTGCACGCGCGAGCGTGGGGGCCTGGGGGCCCAGCGTCCGCAGGGAGCTGCCCCCCACCCCGTGTCGGCCCTCCCCCCGCGCCCCGCCGTGGGTCTCTGTAGCCGGCGGGGACCGAACAGTCCCGGGGACAGCCGGCCAGAAAGGCGGAGGGCAGCCGGGAGCCCAGGCCTCTCCGATCAGGCAGCTCTGTCTCCAGCCCAGGGCCCTAGTGTGGCTCCTACAGTGGCTCGTGACTCTGCGGCAGAACCTCCGCGGAAGTCCTCTCCGTGCGTTTTCTCTCCACGCCAAGGACGTTGCTGGTGACCTTGACAGGGCAAGTCGGAGGCCGAGGCAAAGGGAGGCTGTTCGAACCTCAGGCAGGATATCCCACCCGCCCCGCGTTTTCTCAGGGTACGGCCGCCGCCGCCGGGCACAGAGGATTCCCAGGGCGTCGGCCACGGCCGTGCGGGGGTGTCTTCCAAGGCAAGTGCCCGTGTTCCCACGTGTCGTTTCTTCAACCTAAATGGCTTTTCTTTATTCATGTTTCCCCACGATGAAGCCGAAAATTATTTTGAAAGCATTACATTTACCCAAGGGGCAGTTACCGTGCTTCCGATGCTGTCTGAGTAATGTCTAGAGCGATGCACTAGAAATTTTTTTAAATGATGTTTTTTGAACGTAGAATAGACACTAAATTAATAAATATTTGGGAGTCAGGTAGTGCTATAGGCTAACCAATGAAAGAAGGAGAAAAATTTCCTTAAGATATTAAAATGCTAATTATACATTTGGTACCGTTGGAAACCTAAGATGATTTTACCCAATAGACATTTATTGAGCAATTACTCTGTGCCCGGTTCTGTGAAAGGCCTTGGCAATAGACGATATGAAGAAGACACAGCTTCTAACCTCAGGAAGCCCACAGGAGGGCAACCACTTCTCTGCCCCCGCCCACACACACAGCATACAATTAGTTTTAATATAAGCAAGGCCGTAATTAGTATGTCCAGACAAGGCTGGGCAGAACTCTGGATCAAGACAGCAGAAATAGGAACAGGAAAACCCGACCTTCCCTAAGAGCAGGAGTAGCGGAACTGGAGCCAGCCACGGCAGGAGAATTCAGAGCTTTTCTGCATGTCCCCGTTCCAAGGAACGTTGTCCATAACGTAAAATCCCAGAGCTGGTGGGCCTACGCTTTGTGACTTTACCAGATGGCAACAATTTGTCTCTGACCAAATCATCCCTTCCTTATTGGTAAGTCACCATTTTTGCAATGAAAATAACTTTACACTCATTAGGTCCATGTTTACATATACCACGGATAGATAATATATATATTTACATATTTATTACATACGTATGCTTATTGTATGCATATATACTAAACATATACGTGTTTATTAAAAATAAATGGAATAATTTAAAAATGTATGAACCAAAGTAAAGATCACCTGAAAGCCCACCACCATCTTTTCGGTGCCCGTGGTTTCATATTTTTGTTTATGCAAGAAAGTCCTTTGCAGGTGGATTTATCCATACCACGTTTACCAGGACCTTTCTACAATATGAATTACTTCTCACCCACACCCTACCCCTCACCAGAAACCAGTGTTAACAGCAACCTCATACATATCCTTCTAACCCTCCCACCTTTCTCCATGATTTTTGGCTTGTAGGCTCCATTTTCTTTCACACATGTGCAGGCACCAGGACGCATGACAGAGAGAACTGGGTTTACAGTGGAAAACCTGAGTGATATCATTCTGCACATTTGCTTTTCTCCCTGGATTTCTCATGGAAATCCCTCCCCGTTAAGCATCGCTTCTCAAAGGTTAGGAGACAAAGGGATCACTTGGAGATCGCGGTAACGCGCAGACTCTGGTTTTCGGACAAGATTCTGCATGTTGGGGACGCTTCCGGGAGGACACCCACGCTGCTGCTCTGCAGACAATACTTGGAGCTAGTTCCAAAGGCACAGAGATCTATCTTGTCCTTCAAAGTAGCGTGCTTGGCCTCCGTTCCTCCGTACCTTTAACTGGTCTCCCATTAGAGGCTTTCACTGTGGCGCCAACATTTTGCTGCCTCGCAGCTGGAGCAGCCTGTCCTCATTTCCACGCCCTTTCTGGGTCACCTGCATCCCACTTCTAAACTGCCTGGGGCTCCGGGGCCTGGGAGGCGCCCTGAGCTCATCCTGTGCTCCCGCCCACCCACCACGCGGCCGGCTCGGCTGCTGCTCCCCAGGCCCCCAAGGCAGCAGGCCCTGCACGGTAGGAGGCGTTTCAGCAGGTGTCTGCGGACCTGAGGACGGCCACCACTGGTCCTGGCTGGTTCAGTCTCAGCCCTGGGGGCCCTTCCAGGGCAGCTTGACGTTCCGTCCCAGAATGAACGCGAGCCAGGCCTGTTAGGCAGGCATGAGCAACGTTCACAATTGCCACACATCCCAGTCTTGAAGAAGTCGGAGTGGGTACCTCTAGAAACAATTTATTTTAACATTTAAGAAAATGGGGCATTGATAAGCTTACAAAGCCCTGGAATAAAAATGCTCTGCTTTAAAAATGCTTTTCTTCTGACATATTACATTCTTATTTATTTGCAGTCATTTTTAATGCTAGGATGTCCATTTTCTTATTTCCTGCCCAAGGATAATTTTCTCTTGCTGAATTCTTTGACTGTTTAATCCTAAAGAATTGTCCTTCTAAAAATATGTCATGTGGAAATACAATTATGGCCTTGGTATTTCAAGTTCTCTATGTTAATGTTATTTTTGCTATTTCGGTAGTGATTGCATACACCTGTATGCAGACGAGAATTCACAGCCAATTCTCTTGTTTAACAGGTTCAGAATATGTCCCAGTCAATCGAAGTCTTAAATCTGAGGACGCAGAGAGATTTCCAATACGTTCTAAAAATGGAAACCCAGATGAAAGGGCTGAAGGCCAAGTTCCGGCAGATAGAAGATGATCGGAAGACACTGATGACCAAGCATTTTCAAGTAGGTTGACTTTCCGCAATCTTGTCAATCCAAACGAGACACGGAGTGCGATGAACCGCCAGCATGGCGCTCAGCTAGAAATACCTGTGCGCTGGCCCCTGTGAGCAGGTGAAAGCCTCCCAGGGGGACGTCAGTCATCTGTCCGCTGAAACTGGCCGTGAGCTGGTGGGCAGGCACCGAGGGCTTGCTCTAGAAAAGGGTCGCATCCTCCTAGGGCTGGGCGGAGTTTCTGGATAGATTTGCAGGCCCTCCCATATTGATGACAAGGGGCAATCTAATGGAAAATTAATAATTAAATGTATCGAAGGTTTTTTTTTTCTGATGACTTTACGCCCTGCTCATATGAGAAAATATCGAGAATATAAATGATTAAAAGAGGCAATCATACCATTCTTAGCCATAGGAAGAGGGTTGCTTCATGACTTATACCAAGAAAAGTCTTTTTTTAGACTTTAAGTGATTTATTGGCAATTATTTAGAAACACTGGAAATGGAGAAGTGGTGCTTTTAAGCATGCTATGTGGAATTTTATTAACTACCTATGGTAGTGTCGTAGATCAAGATGAAATCTGACTATGATGATGCCATCTGAACCTCTATTAGAAAGGAAGAGTCCTCCCTGCAAAGATATAGCATGTCGTTTATAAAGCTCACTGGTTTTATAAGCATAACGGCCTTGGCCTTCCCCGCCAGGGAGGACGTGAGGTCCGCCGCGGAAGGTCAGGGCGTGGGTCCGGACCCAGGCTCTCGGTCCCGCATCCCACACCCAGGCGCGGTGGCAGGACGCTAGCCAGCGACACGCAACAGGGTCTCTGCAGGGCACGTTTCAAGGTGGCAGAGATTCGATGGCTTTGCCATGTTCTTCCGTGGTGCTCAGGAGCCCGAGCAGAGAGGTACAGACAGCAGCTTGCACTGAACCACTTTTAAGTTTTTACCCAAAAGGACAAAAGGGCCAAAGTGACGAATCATGGGGTTCACGCAGAAGAAAGACAGCGGCAAGGCCAGGAAGTTAAGAAATTAGAACAAATTAAAGCAAAGCCTAGAAGAGACAGTAAGTGCAAAGATTATTGGAAATCGGAGAATGAGTGAGCTGAGAGAGTAGAGCATGCGTGGAGGGGGGGGTCAGTAAACAGGAAGGGTACAAGGCTGAGGAGCAAATGAATGTATTGTAACTGATGTTTATTGAGCACATACTGTGTGCAAGGCAGGGTCGGGGGCCTCTGCTGGACACACAATATCGCTAACAAACAGGCAGGTGAAACTGATCGTGAACGGAGGTGTAAACGTCACATAACAGCACGAAGGGAAGAGGAATTGTGTTTAATTTTGTTTAGAGAGGATCAGGGCAAGAGTTAGAGACGGTCGGGCAATATTCAAGAACGCCATTTGGACTGGCGCCCCTCCCCACAAAAGAAATGTATTAAATCCCAGAGGAGGTCAAGAAAACCAAAAGGTTTTCCATGCCAAGGTTTTCCCTCGGTTGGGCCGGAGCATAGACTGTGGGGCAACAGTGTGAGCCTGACCGGGGCCACCAGCAGGGCCGGAAAGGGGAAGCCCACCACAGAGCATCCCCAGAAAGGAAGGCAGAAGGAGAGGCACCCAGGGTGTCGGGCACAGGGACATCATCCAAGCTCCGATAGGCAATGCAGAGCTCTGTGACGCCAAGGGACAGCTTGAGGGTGCCAGGGCTGGCAGGGAAAGGGACGCAGGATGGATGACGTAGGTGCATCTATGGGAACTCCTGGGAGGAGACAGGAAACGCAGACACAAAAAGATACGAGGCTGACAGGCACACGAGAACACTGGCCTGTTCCATCAGTTTGCCTGGCAACGGCCAGGCGGCCAATAAGAAAATTTAGTTTTCAGGCAGCACCCCGTGACGCAATGATTTTTGTTTTTGCCTAGTTCGTGTAATCCAAGCAGACGAAGTTCTATGTCGAAACCCAAGTAGCAATAGTGATGATAACATTGTTTTTCTGAAGAATTACAATTACTCAACACATAGCCCTGAGCACTTTAAATACATCACACGTTAATTCGTGGAACCCTCACCACCGTCCCATCGGTTGGGCATTATTTTTGTCCCCCTCTTTCAGATGAGGGGAGGGATGCCCCTTGAAGCTGAGCAGTCTGTCCGGGGTCGTACCTCTCACACGTGGCAGAGCCCCCAAGCCCAGCTCCCACGTCACACTGTCCACGGCCGGTGCCACAGCACCTCTCCAAGTAGACCACAACCCTCTGAATGCTACCTAAGAATAATTAGATGATCCATGGATGTGCCTTGAACTCATCTCCTCACCGAGTCCTCCAGCCACAAGTCAGATTTTGCTCTAAGGGCTGAGGTGCCGTCTTAGAGGAGAAATGGTCCATTCCCAAAGTAAGCTTAACAGGGAAGAATACTTTTCAATCGGAAGGAACTCCTCCTCTGGTAGGTCATTTTCAACCTATCAAAAAGGTGAAGGGATTAAGCAAAGACAAACAAACAAAAAAAAGGCAAAGAAAATTTATAGATACAGATAACAGTATGGAGATTATCAGACCGGAAGAGAGGTTGGGGGAAATTAAAAAGGGGGAATAAATGGTAATAAAAGGAGATTTGACTTGGGGTGGTGAACACACAAGACAATATACAGATGATGATGTGTTATATAGAATTGTGCTCCTGAAACCTATATAACTTTATTAACCAATGTCACCCCAATAAATTCAACTTAAAAAACAGTAAGTGGGTTTCTTCTTCTATATGCTTTAAGACAAAAAGTTTGTTCTAGGTATCATACTTGAGACTATCAATCTTACAGGAAGAGATCATGGTTGGACAAGACAGCCAAATACAACCTCTGCTGTAAGAGCATCATAGTAGAAAATGAAATTCTAGGAGAGATTAGGAAGCACGGATGTGTGCCATTCTATTTTAACCTTTTTAAATATTTGATATGTGCATTGGTTGCACTTTCCGTTGCTCTCTGACAAGTGCCCAGAGTTTCCAAATTGACTGCCAATAATCAAATTATGAATTTTTGAAAAGGTCCAAAAATATAAATGCCTTTTTTCCTTTTTGGTTCAGGAGGGAAAAACACTGCCACCAAAATTGTGACATTGTGTTGTCTTCTTCAATATCCCCAAGTGCAACCTAAACCTCTTCATTGTAACAGTTGCTCTATGTAACGTGCAGCCGAGGTGCACACAGAACTAACACTCCTCATTAAAACCCTAATGAAGCGCTAGTGCCTTCCGTTAGGGACACCACAAGATGCTCACACTATAATAAGCTTATTTCAAGTGAGCCACCAAAATGAGCAAAGCTCTGCAATTCTGCCTTTTGACTGTAATACTTATTAATCTTTCTCATTAACTCAGACTCTGTCTCCTCCCATCCAACATGGACATACAGGCAAATCCAAACAATTCCGAGCTTACAGAGCAAGCAGAAATTGCCCCACAAGGAACACAGGCCCATACATCAGGGCGGCAATGGAGCTGGAGCTGTGCGGATGCATTTACAGCAGTGGCATCTTCTCGATGTCGTTTTAAAATGCACTTTGCAGCCCCTTCCATTAGCTGGTGCACAGCGTGGTTTCTGACAGTACCTGCGATTATTCTCGAATGGTCACGGTAGTACCGCTCTTTCCACCAATGCGGTCATCGGCAGTAAACTCGCAACTGAATCAAACGCAGGAAATGCTTGCCCTGGCTCCCGCCACCAAGTGAAAGGAAAAACGAGGTGGTGAGATGCCTAGAAGATGAACATGGAGCTGCAGACGTGGCTCCATGCCAGGTGTGGCTCTGCCCTGCGATGCTCTTGGAGGTGGGACAGTGTCTCAGCATCATGCATGTCTCGCTCTCTACACAAAAACCAACATATCAGTTTCTAATAGCTATGCAACGGGGCCACTGCCTTTGTTCCATAACCTAGGAGCATCTTGGTCCCTGAAAGGGTTAATTCGCCTCATGGGCAAGCCGCGTTGCCTTGCCTACATAAAGGGCTCAAAATGATCTCCGCTAAGGCAAATGAAGTTGGAGTGGGGGTGATAATTCAAGATGGTAAATAGCAGCATGCATTGCTTTGCACTTAGAGAAGCGTCGCAGGATTGATCGCGCTTGCTGAGCTTGCCTTCCTAAGGGTGCTCTGCCAAGATGGATGATAGAGACACAGGGGGAGGCCTGGGCGAAACGGGAGGGCAGGGTGAGGAAAGACCATTGCTGGGAAGTTCCAGGACAGAAAAGCTGTTCCAGGATCCCAGATTTCCTACAAGTCCCCCTATAAAATGAGTCATTGGTAAGTGAATGATTAGACGTCACTGAACAGGCACAGGACATTCGATCAATGTCTAATCATTTGTACTTAGAAGAGGGACCCTGCTTCTCCTCCCTAACTAAATAACTCGCTGTGGACTTTATGAAACACTATCAGAAAGTGAGATGATACATAAACGCATAATTGCCACCGTAGGAAGCTTCTGTAATTATGGTAAGGATCGATTTGTTTCCTAGAAAAGCATGTAACCATTTAAGGAGAGGTTCGTCTACTGAAAAGATAAGTGGACTTTCTACTAATGACTGTGCGGCCACTTCCATTTTCACAAAATACCTCATTTCAACCAAAAATCAATAAGGCATGTGGAATCCATTTCAATAATCCCCCTTCAGTCCCAGACGAAAGCGCGCAGCTGTTTAAATGGCCCTCGGGGACCCGGGGCTGCTTTCTGCAGGAGCTGAAGGAGAAGATGGACGAGCTGCTGCCCTTGATCCCTGTGCTGGAGCAGTACAAGACCGACGCCAGGCTCATCACCCAGTTCAAGGAGGAGATCCGGAACCTGTCTGCCGTCCTCACAGGGATCCAGGAGGAGATCGGGGCCTACGACTACGAGGAGCTGCACCAGCGGGTGCTCAGCTTGGAGACCCGGCTTCGCGACTGCATGAAGAAACTGAGTGAGTAGGGCCGCCGCGTCTGCCTCAGCTGCGTTCTTAAGTAGTTTCAATGAAAACTGCATTCATACATTATGCTTACAGTCAGAAATGCCTGTGAATGGAGGGAAGTCAGGGCTTGCTGTCTAAGTGTGAAAGGTGAGCGGTCCCTAACAGCTTAAGCGAACCCGGGAACAGAGTGGGATTTGATGAACAGGTGCTTGGTTTTCAGATCGCCCGGTTACCTTTGAGATAAGTCGTCCGGCAGATATGGCCAATTCTGTCAGCTACACTAGTGGAAATAAGTTTTAGCACAGGCAGAGGGGGTGTGATGATCAATCAAGGCTTGGCCAGGGGCAGGGGGCGGCAGGGAGGCATTTCTCATTGTAGGGAAAGTTTGGGAACATAACCAAGGGCGCTGCCCTGGGGGAGAATGTAAAACAGCACTGATTAAAGCAAACCCAAACAAGTGTGCTATTCTGCAGAGCTGCCGACCACTGCTCTGCTCCGGTTGACGCAAGGAATCACAAGGAGGTGCAGATACGCATTGTTCTGTAAGATGCCAAGTGCCTTGGGTCCTGGGTCTCGAACCACAACTCTCCACTGAGCCTGGACAGAGTTTACAAACTCCTCATTGTGTCCGGGGGCTAATTTTTCAACCGACGCCGTCATGGGACTAATCTGTAGCTTAATGTGGAATAATAAGTGGTAAGGAAGTGAATGAAAAGGGGCCGTAAGCCCATTTAGGGACAGTCTGTCAGTTGTTGACGTGAGGTGACATGACAGGGGCGGGGAGCAGCTCAATGACCACAGGAGAGTGTGCCCTCGCGGTCAAGAAAGGGTTCTGCGATAGGAAATAAACACAAAGAGGAGGAAAGAAATCGAAAAAACAACTTCCGGTAAAGAAAATTTCAAAGGGTAGGTGTGTTTTAAAATGAAATTTGAATAAGTTCCAAGAACATTGGAAAGACCCATCACGTCGCTCTGCCATTCCTAGATCTCTCAATAAACCTGGGAAACAGGCTTGAGACCGGTTTTGTCCTGATCACCCGGTTCTCCTCCCGTGGGCTGTCAGGCACCAACAGACCCCACGAAAGCAAGGACAGGCGACAGAGAGGTGGTCCCTCGGCAACACGGTGAGCCTGACCCAACACGTGCCAGCGACGTTGTTGAGGGATTAACAGGGGAACCTCGGGGTTTTACTCAATTTTAGAAATGAACTTGACTTCTAACGTCAACCGGAGGAGACAGAAGTAGGTTTACAGTTGTCCGTGTGAAAATAATACAGCAATTAATCAATCACAATACAAGGAAGAACTCGTGTCTTGCACACTCACAGCTGTAACCCTACCGTTGTCCTGCTCCGTAGCCCCTCCGAGTTCACTGAGCTGGAAACCGTCGCCTGCAGGCAGGGACTCCACGCCCCAGGGTGCTTCCTCTACTCTGCATATAACTCCCCCGCACACTCAGTCTCCTCCAAATACTGAGCATGATATTTGGGACAAAGAGGGTTAATCTATGTAAACACAAATTCGTCCCCGTCCTTCTCACCAGAGGAGGAATAATGTTTCTGTGGTGTTCTTAGGCCTTAGGACTACGACCGGCAATATCTAGCAGGGATTCTTTTTCTTCGTTCTCCCGCATAGGCCAGTAAGTTTGAAAGAAGGTGACTGTCAAATAAACTGCATTAATTAGTTAATATTTATTTTTATTTTGACTCATCCAAAAAAAAAAAAAGTCCAGCAAGCAATACAGATATCAAACATCAATAAAACTAGTATTTAACTTTTTTTATTTAATGAGATGGCTACTGTTTGAGTTAATTGATCTGACCCTGCAGACTACGAAAGCTGCAGTCACACGCCATACGCTCTTTGCAGGTTACTAGCAGCCCACTCAGCAAAGAGGCCGGCGCCACGGCGACTCTAACTCGTTCATGCTTTTTGTCCCGAGGACAGGGTGCTTTCCTCCATCACACAGTGTCTCTGCCAGTTAACCAAGACCATGACTGAGAGTCTCCTGAGCAGAGAGACGATGTATCAGCTGACCACTAACCTTAATTATAATGTAGAAAATGTGTCCAGATAAAGACGAACAGCCCTAATACCATGAAACATAAAGCCACATGATCCCTGAAAAAATAAACGAATCTTCATATTTTCCCTTAAAAAATGACTCGAATTTGAAAGAAGTTATCAGATAAGATATATATAAAATACATATCATATATAAAATATATATTATATAATATAGAGATATATAACTATATTATATAGTTAACTATATAACTGTCATATAGATATATAACTATATATTATATAATATATACTATACTATATATAGTGTATATATATACTATATAGTGTGTGTGTGTGTGTGTGTGTGTGTGTGTGTGTACTTGCTTGCTTGCCTTCAGTGGGGACCACAAGCCCATGAAGGATAAGCAGCGTTCACAGCACTTTCCTGTGTGGCCGTTCTGATCGCGGCAAGAACTCTGCGCTAAGCCTTACTAATGTTGGCAATGTTTTGAAAACTGATTGCTCAGTGTAAACTCGTTTGCCAAACGCACATGCTGGAGGCAGCAACTTGAAACCCAAGTCCTTCTTCGTTCCAAGGCTGAGCCTTGTTCCCCCCACACATGTCTTTGTTGGTATAGTATATACTATAGTATATAGTATATAGTATATAGTATACACTATATACTATATAACATAAAATATATATTATATATATATTTGCAGAAGAAAACACAAGCATATAATTTGGAGTGTGGCACTAAGTTACAGTTTCATTAACACTTTCTTAGTATTTACACTCCCTGGAAATTGGTACAGATTAAACCAGATCATCTCTGTGAACCCTTTTAACTCCACGCTTCGTATTATTTCAAAGGTAAGTGCCCAAATATCAAAATATCAGAACAGGCAAACTCAGAAAATCGATGCTAATCAGCACCAGGACCATTTACAGGAAATGTGGGGACAGAAAACATACCAGAGGGTCCGTGTTGCAAAGGGTCTAAAATCCAGGCGCTGTGCCGCCCAGATCTGGGGCAGGGCTCGTGACGATCATGGTGCCCGCGGCAGTCATGGGGGCAGGGCTCAGTCATCAGGGACAGCTTTGCCTTCTCCCCAGAACCGCTCGGCTCACACAGCCAATTACCAGGCAGTGGAAGTGGACTGGGGAGAGGAAGTAAAACTGCAACCTTGATAAATGCATTTCTACTCGCCTTGTCAGAGGGTTGGCCTTTGGGGAAAATGTCACAGTGCACGTCATGTGAATTTTAAGGCACTGAAACGCATGGCCTGCAAGGTCTCAGTTCCTCCTCCGCTGGAGGAATCACACATCATTGAGATGAGAGCCCCATCCAGCTTCTTTCTACGGGAGAATTCAAGTTTCGGTGAAAAATAGAAGTTAGAAAAAAATGCTTCAAAAGCAATGCACCCCAGTGGTCGGAATGAGGGAGGGTAATGCTCTTTCCTAAGTGCTTAATTTTCCACTGCGAGAAACTGAATAAAACAAAGTCCCCTGTGCTTAATTAAATTGCACCATATTCCCTGACAAGCAAAATGTAATTATATGCATGTGAGAATTGAATTGAAAAGGCAGTTAAAGCGCCCACAACCCCCTGGGACCACCAGTAGGTATTTAGTGTAGATTATACCCAGCCGTCCGGTTCCCAGGCCCTTGCCCTCTGCCTGGAGGTAGCTCTGTCTCAGGGCAAAGGTCTGGCACCATCCAGTGAGGCGCACGACGTGCCTTTCCCGTAACACAGCGGGTGTGAGGTTTCACATTCAACAGGAGTACTAGGAACATTCAAACCTCGAGGTCCCACGTAATGAGACCTGGGTTCTTGGCTTTACCAGGTTCGTGCCAATTAGTTTTAAAGGGAAAAACACAATGTCTATGTGGTAATGGCCCTATTCGCACAGTCCACAAATATTCAAGGAGCCCGCGGTGTGTGCCAGGACTCCGCCAGGTGCTGAGGATACGAAGGCGCGCCGCCGACTGGGCCCCTCCGAGGCCAAGGCAGAGCCTTCAGTGGGGACCACAAGCCCGTGAAGGATAAGCAGGGTTCACAGCGCTTTCCTGTGTGGCCGTTCTGATCGCCGCAAGAACTCTGGGCTAAGCCTTACTAATGTTGGCAATGTTTTGAAAACTGATTGCTCAGTGTAAACTGGTTTGCCAGACGCACATGCTGGAGGCAGCAACATGAAACCCAAGTCCTTCTTCATTCGAAGGCTGAGCCTTGTGCCCCCCCACCCATGTTTTTATTGGGTTCATACAATGACAGAGAAACTCCCTGGACATCTCGATGAGTTTAATTCAGTACACACAACCCAAGGGCTGTAGAGAGAAGCCGGAGGGTCTGTTTCGATCCTTCCCTGAACTTCACTCATGTGTGGGTACCTCCTCTTCCCCTCACCTTCCCCCCGCCCCCCAGCAGCCTCCCGAATCTCCTGTCTCCAAATCCTTACCCCCCCCCCGCCCCCGTCCACAGCGTCATTCAGCGCCTCTCAGGGCAACGGCCTCCTCCCACTGCCCTCTCCTGACGTCGTGTCCTCTCCGCCACGCTGGGCATGACGGTCACCTTTCCAAGCGCACACCTACTCAGACTACACCTGAGTGTCAGCGATTTCCCTTTGAAATGAAACCCCAGTAGGTTTGCATGGTTTGTCCCGATGACGTGGCTTCTGCCTAGCTCTGCGGCCCTTTCTTCTGGGACTCTCCCCGCGCCCACTCGGACCTTGAGTGATCCTGTTCTTTCAGTTCCTCGGGGGTGGGCATGCACTTTCCCCACCTCCCGGACACAACTCCTCCTCTTTTTGGAGTGTGTCCCTTGCAGGGAGCACTTCCTCCCACCCCCGCCCACCCAGATGCTGACGGGTGTCATGGCACACGCCAGACTCCAGCTTCCCTACGGACCTTCCCCGATGGCTCTCTGACGTGGCTGGACACCCTCTTGCATGGTCTCCTGAGAATTGAAAATGACAATGTGCTTTTTTTAAAAAAATCTTTACCTC